TTTGCTGATAAGAAGATAAATCTGTGCAAGAAATACCTGCAGCTTTTAAACAAGTAGAGGGTGAGGAATGTGGTACACAGTATATAACACATACCAATACAATGTAAATAAGTTTCATCAGTTTGGGTTGATAGGTATAATGTAGTGTGGACTTCCCTATTCCTATTGGAACAATTATTCAAATTTTATAGTTACAGTTATCGTCCTTGCTGTGAACAGGCCTTAATTTAAAGTTTGAAAAATTCTTTAAAGGACAGTCATGGATCGCTGGATTGCTCAAATGGGGAGCTAAGAGACTTCTGACTAACATTTCAATAGGGAATTCGGCAGAAGTGATGGAAACAAGAGACTTCAGGGCCCAAGGTGTTTATTTTTTACCTGGATAGGAATGAGTGAGTTTCAGCAGAAGACATACTGTGAGATGGAGGGAGGGCTTGAGAGAGAGTGAGTTAGGAAGCATAAATTCTTTAGGGAGCAATGAATACTCTGCTTTTCCTAGATATGAACACACATTCTGCACTCAGTCTGTTCACCAGCTGTGCCTCTACACTTCGCGTTTCAGTGTTTACTATTTGAGTGAGGAGCTCTCTCCCTGAGGGACCACAGGGGTGGCAGAAAAGCAGTTATCCCACCCAGAAGGAGGTCAGTCAAAGTGTCTATCCATGGCTATCACCATGGGTGTCCACAAGGCATTTCTCTCTCACTCTCTCTTTTTATGGGTCACAGTTCCTGACCAGCTTGACCCTACTTCAGGCTAGTGCTCATCTGTAGAAAAACATCTAGCAGCTATGCTGGAAAACTGCTTTACCTCCCTGACTTCATACAGCTGCAATAGCTCCTCTCTCAGTCTTAATGGCACACGGTTGTTTCTATCTGACTTCGAATCGGAGACTTCGGCACAAAACAGCCCACTAACTGGTATCTGGTATCTGGAGAAGAAACATACACATTCTTGTACACGTCATACACGTCTTGTGATCATGATAAGAAATTTTGCAATCTGCAAAAGAGAATCTACTGTGATTATGACAGAGAACCCAGAGGCAATCAAATAATCTCTTCAAGCAGCTGGACCTTAGAAGACACTGATGTTTTCCTAATGTTTTAAGGTTATTCCAAGAAAGTCTGGGGTTGACAACTTAAGCCTTAGATCTAATCTTGCACTGGTTAAACACATGAGCTGGAATTTTGATCAATATTTCAATAGAGTCAATGGACTTACTAGGACTGGGCGATATGGGCAAAAATTCATATCTCTGTATTTTTTGGCCGATTTGCGATATACGGTATATATCTCTCTTAAAATTGGGTTCTATTATTTTTCCTCAACAGTTCTCCTCACAAAACGAAATTCATTTCAAAACACAAATTTGATAAGAACTGAGTGGAAATTATTAGCAACACCAAAATAACAGCAAAGCTAATGTTTTCTGTTAGTTTAAACAAACTAAGAAAAGTAAAACCAAACTTTGTGGCAATAATTAAGACCAAACTGAACATGGTGTGTGTTTATGGTGCGTGTCGGCAATGTTGTCTCGGCGGGGGCAGGGTGTGGTGGAGTTGGGGCTTAGGTAGACGATATTTTCGGATATCGCAATATTTTTAAAGGCGATTATCGATATTGATTATATGATATTTTTGACATATAATGCCCTAATACAATGTCAGACTCAATTTATACTCTGCAACAAACAAGATATCAGACATTTCCAGTGTAAAAGCATTTAATTCATGAATACAATAAATGTTCCCTCTAAATTTTGTTCTTGCAGATCAAAACCAATTTGCATTGGACAGCCCCTTCAAGCACATCTCGAAGAAAATTACTGAAGATATTTTTGTCAAGATAACTTATTAGTATAGCTATCTCAAGTTCATAACAAAAACAAACTGGAAGCCCATAGAAGCCAAGTGTTTTTTTTTGTCATTTTCTCAAGATCCTGAGATAATGACAGAAAAAAAACTAAATGCTGTGTGTTTTGTCCCACCTTGAACAGGATGGAGGGAACAACATAATTGCAAAACATCTTATTAACAAACAAATACAAAGATAGTGCTACAGTGTCTCAGAATCACAGATGAAACAGTTAGATATCTCAGTAGTTAACTGGTCACAGTTCCTGTTGTTCTCATTTTTACTTGCTCCGAAATCGAGCAAAAGGCTTCTTAGATGCAGAAGATGCAGGAGATGAATACACTAATTGAGGCAGGCTGGTTGGCAGCCACCTGCAGGCTATGTGAGAGAGACAGTAATTATGTTGAACATTTAATGATTCTGCTTAATAGGAGTGAGAGACAGAGCAACGAGGAGAGAAAAAAGAAAACAAGCAACAACTACACAAAACATCAGGAGGGAGAGGAGAGGAGAAAATAGAAGAGGCGAGGAGAGGGTCTAATTCAGCAAAGAACACGTTAAGTGGCCATCTATGTAAATCTAACAGGTTGTCACACACAGGAAACTTCCTGTTTGCACAGAATCAAGTTTAGATGTTACCATCCATAGAACAAGATCAACTTTAAGATATCTTAGAGAGCTGTGACCTAGAGGTTAGCACATTTTTGAGTCTTGAATATAGATTGACTATGACTAATTTCTTGATCTTTTTTCCTCCCAAAAAACTGTTTAATATTTAAATCAAGTCGTCATCTTTATTTATATAGTGCTTTATATAATACAGATTGTGTCAAAGCAGCTTCACAGTGTCGAACAGGAAAATAGTTTGTCAATAATGCAAGAGGACAATAACAAACAGTAAATTTTTCAGTTAAGGTCAGTTTATTGATGTCTTTATCCAGTTCAGCTCTCTTCCAATAGTGTCTTGTGTAATCAAGTCGACAATATTGCCAGAAATTAAGCGTCCCCAAGTAAGCAAGCCAAAGGCTCCATTAGTGACAGAAATGAAGGGAAAAAATGATCTTTGTCTTTTTAACCTTTAAAATTTGCCACAAATTATGAGACAAACCTGACAATGACATCTGTTTATCCCTTCTTCTCTTCCCTCTTCAGTGCTCAAAACAGCCTACAGCCCAATAAATGATCTAAGATCTGTTTTGCTCTGCTCGTTTGGAGTTTGATCTATATTTTCCTCTCAGAGGTGACTCTTCCCTCTCGTCACGCTGTTGAATGTGTGGCATTTTGTGAGCGTCAACCACCTGAGCATGAAAAACACAGGAGTGAGCCTCTCGTTGTAGGCTCCAGGCAAATATTGACATCTTTTCTGTTGCCTGTCTCTCAGCTCTTCAGTTCTACGTTCTCTTTCTTCTTTTGTTCATAAGGGTTAAGAGTCTGAGTGACTGGTAATCCTCTGTAACAGAGAGCAGTGTCCTGTGTACACTCACTGTCTTTCATCTTCCTAAAACCCTCCAATAAAAATACCACAGCGCCTAAGCTCATTTGCACCCGTGTTTTGAAGGACGATCCTCTTTTCTCCATCCCTTCTGCCAATGTAAAGATTTGCATATGGCAAGGCAAGAAGGGGACAAGGGGAATGTGAAGGAGAGAGGAAAAAGAGAGAGAAAAGACACACATTTAAATGGAAATAAGAGTCTGAAGGGAGACGAAGTGGCCTGGCAGTCAGTGGGAAGAGAAAGCATATTTGTGTACTGTTTCCCAAGCGCCAGCTTTTCAGAAGCAGAGGAGGTGGGCATGTGTTAGTTTAAGGCGCACAAAGGGAGTTTTAATCCTTTCAGAAAAAGGGTCGCCATTCAGCGCCCCTCTGAACCTCACAAATCAAACCTCTAAAGGCCTTCAAAGAGCAGAATGTGGGAAATGTGTTTGGGGTCCTGAGGGAGTGAAGCAAGGGGGAAAAGGAGGAACAAGGGGCTTGTTGCATCAATCAGTCGCTCTCTCTCACCTCCTCCTCCGGGGTCAGATTTCTTTCCAGCCTCCGTCACCCCCTCCCCATCCCACCCATCATGCTCTCCATCCTGGTAACGCACCATTACAGAGGAATGTGGATTCACAAGGCTGGGCTCCATTATGTTGGCCTGTCCGGGGTTTGTAAAATGGGGGAGCTCAAATTCCAAAGACTTTAAAAGCAAATTAGCGGTGTGCTGATGGGCTCCTGCTGTCTAAAGACACTGATGTTTTAAAAGCAACTCAACTGACTCCCTGGATCCTTTGACTCACTGCAGACTCCACACGAACCAACTTCCTATGCGCCTGGTGGGACGTTTACATGCACACAAAGAACAGACGGTGGGCGCATCGCAGCTCCTCACTGTATAAACACAAAGCGTGCTTTTAAAATAGACACGGCAAACAATATCACACACGCAGAGTATCAAACCAGCAGGGTAGAATTGCTTCTTCCACTACCGTCTGTGCCGCAGATCCACCACCTTTATTTAGCATTTCACAACTAATCAATTTCCATAACAGAAGCCAGACGCCGCTGCACATGGGACCCAGTGTGTGGCGTTTACACATGCTGCGTGCCTGAAATGGATTTTCTCATTCATCACTCAGCAGCACATTGGGATCTGTTTAACAGAGTGGCTCAGATGGATTTCTCCCAGCCCATACGCTGTGAGAAAGCAGGGATACAACACACTGTGCCTGTCAATGGAATCCTAGTCAGCCTTGAGGAAATGCATTATTTCCCATGCCACCCCGGAAAGAAAAACACATTAAACGTAATCTGAATGCAATATTGGTAAATAAGGTTGTCTAGAATAATGTGACGGATTCTAGTTTATGACTTGTGAAGCATCGAAGATTGCATGCTTCACAGTTGTATATATAATACCTACAATACATAACAGTATTTATTATATAGACTGGGATTATCCTCACACATGACGATACTAATATACATTTTTCGATCATAACACTATAATAACACCTTTAAAATATAATTTGACATAAAACAACAACCATAACGATTTTTAGAGTATGCGCCTCTATATGAACAGTAAAATCTGTCAACAACTACAGAACTGTGATTTACACAAGCAATAAGCACATAAGCAGAATGGAATGAAGAAAGTCTACCACATACCTTTAACAGCAGCTGTGCTGAATAGTTTCTCTGAGCTGGCATCGGAGCCCTGAGAGAGAGAGAGAGAGAGAAAGAGAGAGTCAGTACATCTGCTTCAGAACTAAGCAGGTGGACTTCATCATCAAAGGTAGCGCAGCACTAATGAGCGCAAAAATTCAGTCACTTCCCAGAGCGGCCACTGGATGGCACTGTGGCTCCATACGCAAAACGACGCGCCGCACTTGAGACCTGGTTGAACGCATTAACATTGCTATATGTTATTGTGCAACATCCAGCGTTGCAATTTACGCATTTAGGTAATGAAAGCCTATTTAAGTGACAATGTGGTGTCAAAGGGGCATCGGCTAATTCAATTGACTAAACAGCAACAAAGATAGAATCATTACAGCCCATCCATTCGCGTCTAACCTGACTCTCATTCAAGAGGAAAATAATACACGAGCTATGTGCACTTTTTAACAATTTTACAATGATTAACAAACACAAAAACAAACAGAAGAGCTTTTGAGCGGATGTAAACTGGCATGGGTCTTTCTTTGGATACCTAACTAAGAATATATTCTCAGAAAAACAGCTTCATTGGAAAGCAATTATTCTGACAGGTTTGGCAACACTAACGTTATATCCATATCCTGCTCGAGGCAAAAACGACAATGACAAGGTATACAAAACATTTCTTAGCTCAAATTAGCTATAGCCTATAAATAAAACGTTAAGGCCATTTTCACAGCTGAAAATATGAATAATAATGATAATAATAATGTGATATGCATTCATTAACATGACGTCAAGAGACATCGTTTCCACACAACGTCGTGTTTGCGCGACTGCTTTATTCATTTCAAACCACAACCGAAAAACATCTGGCAACATTCACTGCAGAGATTTCAATTACAATTATCCACAACCAACGACAAGAAAACAGCGCTCCAAATCCTCCAGCCATCGACTAATCCACTGAAACTGCTTTTAATAATTCCCCTAAAACGTCGAATGACATTGTAGTCATCGAGATATGAACTAAAAAATACAATTTTGAGAGATATGAAGGTGCGGTGTACCTTTTGATGTGGCGAGGTTGGCACAGAGGAAAATAAGTCAAGAAATCACTTTCAGGTTTCGATAAATACGCCGTTTCACATTCTGCTGGTCAAACAATGTAATCCACAAACAAGCGGCGAATTCCTCTAGCTCCCTTTGACAGAATGACAGCCATGCAAAATAAGAAGAGGAAGAAGAAAACCATCCAGAGCTCAAAGCGAGAGAGGCTCTCAAACAAAAGCAGCCATGTGTCTGGTACCCAAGGGCGCAGAGAAGTGGAGAAATCCTTCAGCTCGTCCTCTTCGCGCGAAACGGCCGTTTGAAATCCTCGCCAACCGTCGCTTAACGGACGCGGACTTCTGCGCTCTTTTGTGTCAGAGGCGCGCTCAGTGACAAACCATCCGCGCGCCTGTCTCCCGTGCGCTCGTGCAGAGCAAGAAAATCCAACAAAGCATACAGTATTTTCCTCCTATAGGCAGATTGGGTGGAGTAAAGCCGCACTAAAACCGCCGCTTCCTTTCCTCGAAATCGTCGCTGGTCTGAAGCTCGGGTCCTGTCGCTGGCTCCCGTCCCTCGCGTGAGTGCTGCCTGTATCCACACAAACTCTCGCATTCACCCACGGCGCGACCGGGTCCTCCCACTTCCTGATTCTAACCTGACTTCATTCAGCTTCTACCCCCTGCTTGTTTCTGCCGCACACACACAGAACGTGCTTCCTCCGCTCAGCTTCACCGGACAGACGGTGCGTGTACGATGCTCAATGAGCGCTACTGGCAGAGGAGTCCTGAAAGAGTGCAAACAGGAGACGGAGCGACCAGGAGGAAGAGAGAGAGAGAGAGAGAGAAGAGGAGGGAACTGGAATAGAATGATATTCTTTCACTCTCTGGCCAGAGTGAGATGATGTCAGCTGCTAATGAATTTCCCAGTAGTGCAGCTAGCTACTGTGAAGGGGAGGGCGACAGAGACTCTCTTCATGAGCAGCACACACCTCTCTGGTTCCCTCAGCCACAGCCTTCCTTCACTGGGGTTAGAATCACCCAGGCTGACCCAGAACAGCACCGTTTGCCCTGCTGAATAATTAGTGTCAATAGTGTAGTGATGTATGAAAACCGCTCACGCCGAAGTCACTTCCAAACCAAGTATACTGTTGGTCAACGCATGAAAAACTGAACCCGATGCAAAAATTGGGGAGCCTTTGCGTGGATTGCTTTTGAAATGGCTGGAAAAAGTTTGCCAAGCAACAGTAAATGTGACTGCATCTTTAAAAAAATGACAAGCGGGCGAGAGCTGCTGTGTATTGTTGGGACTAACATGGCAATATTTAACACCAGGAAAACAAATTTAAGACTAAACTGATCAACCATTGATTTAATAAGCCTAGGGCTTCTACCTACCCTTTTTTTTAAATTTCGAACAGGTTGAATATATGTAAAAGAATACATATATTTGTTTGTTGTTTGTTTATTGGTATTTATTTGTATATTTATTATGTGTTTTTTTTTCTTTTTGTATTTTTAATAGTTCGAAATAAAAAATTAATTTAAATTTAAATTTTTTTTTAAATTGAACCACATCTGCAGCATTTTTACACTAAAGGCTTGTTCACACCGGGACGAATATTTATCGCCGACGTTTAATGCCTCGTGACTAAACAAAGGGCACCAATGTGAGTGTGCACACCGACGCGCAAAACGCAAGGCGTAAAAGCGTAATTTTTAAAAACCGCCTTGGGATCGTTTTTTGGTTTGATGCACCGCGTTAAAAACAGGCCGACCAATGAGATTGGTGCTTTTATTCACGTGCCTGGAGCTGCTGAAGTTACAGTAAAACACGACTTGGTGGCACTCAAGCACAAAACGGTCTTGCCGAGCACACACTGATACCTAACGACGAAGAGGAAGTAAGTAGACCAAGAAGATGCATCGAGGCAAGATGAATGTAGAGCTGCTGGTCTCATTGGTGTCTGAACACAAAGGGCTTTATGCGGACGCGGACTTCTGCGCTCTTTTGTGTCAGAGGCGCGCTCAGTGACAAACCATCCGCGCGCCTGTCTCCCGTGCGCTCGTGCAGAGCAAGAAAATCCAACAAAGCATACAGTATTTTCCTCCTATAGGCAGATTGGGTGGAGTAAAGCCGCACTAAAACCGCCGCTTCCTTTCCTCGAAATCGTCGCTGGTCTGAAGCTCGGGTCCTGTCGCTGGCTCCCGTCCCTCGCGTGAGTGCTGCCTGTATCCACACAAACTCTCGCATTCACCCACGGCGCGACCGGGTCCTCCCACTTCCTGATTCTAACCTGACTTCATTCAGCTTCTACCCCCTGCTTGTTTCTGCCGCACACACACAGAACGTGCTTCCTCCGCTCAGCTTCACCGGACAGACGGTGCGTGTACGATGCTCAATGAGCGCTACTGGCAGAGGAGTCCTGAAAGAGTGCAAACAGGAGACGGAGCGACCAGGAGGAAGAGAGAGAGAGAGAGAGAGAAGAGGAGGGAACTGGAATAGAATGATATTCTTTCACTCTCTGGCCAGAGTGAGATGATGTCAGCTGCTAATGAATTTCCCAGTAGTGCAGCTAGCTACTGTGAAGGGGAGGGCGACAGAGACTCTCTTCATGAGCAGCACACACCTCTCTGGTTCCCTCAGCCACAGCCTTCCTTCACTGGGGTTAGAATCACCCAGGCTGACCCAGAACAGCACCGTTTGCCCTGCTGAATAATTAGTGTCAATAGTGTAGTGATGTATGAAAACCGCTCACGCCGAAGTCACTTCCAAACCAAGTATACTGTTGGTCAACGCATGAAAAACTGAACCCGATGCAAAAATTGGGGAGCCTTTGCGTGGATTGCTTTTGAAATGGCTGGAAAAAGTTTGCCAAGCAACAGTAAATGTGACTGCATCTTTAAAAAAATGACAAGCGGGCGAGAGCTGCTGTGTATTGTTGGGACTAACATGGCAATATTTAACACCAGGAAAACAAATTTAAGACTAAACTGATCAACCATTGATTTAATAAGCCTAGGGCTTCTACCTACCCTTTTTTTTAAATTTCGAACAGGTTGAATATATGTAAAAGAATACATATATTTGTTTGTTGTTTGTTTATTGGTATTTATTTGTATATTTATTATGTGTTTTTTTTTCCTTTTGTATTTTTAATAGTTCGAAATAAAAAATTTATTTAAATTTTAATTTTTTTTTTAATTGAACCACATCTGCAGCATTTTTACACTAAAGGCTTGTTCACACCGGGACGAATATTTATCGCCGACGTTTAATGCCTCGTGACTAAACAAAGGGCACCAATGTGAGTGTGCACACCGACGCGCAAAACGCAAGGCGTAAAAGCGTAATTTTTAAAAACCGCCTTGGGATCGTTTTTTGGTTTGATGCACCGCGTTAAAAACAGGCCGACCAATGAGATTGGTGCTTTTATTCACGTGCCTGGAGCTGCTGAAGTTACAGTAAAACACGACTTGGTGGCACTCAAGCACAAAACGGTCTTGCCGAGCACACACTGATACCTAACGACGAAGAGGAAGTAAGAAGACCAAGAAGATGCATCGAGGCAAGATGAATGTAGAGCTGCTGGTCTCATTGGTGTCTGAACACAAAGGGCTTTATGACTAACGCGACAGCGACTACAAAAATCTCGATAAGAGGGAGTTGTTATGGAGAGGAATTGCAGATCAAATAGGATTCGATGTGTACCGGGGTATTTCTGTTTTTCATTAAGCGCCATCTAATGTCAGGGAGTGAATTTGCACGTTCACTCGGCTCATCGCCTGCGAAAATCGCTTGGGTAAGCGCGCGCGATAATCGTCCCGGTGTGTACGAGGCTTAAGACTGGCCTCAATTGTGTTTTCAAACCATGGTGTAATATTAACCTCCTTCCTCCAGGGTTTGAGGAAAAGATTGAAGATCTAATTCCACTAACCTCAGTTCATGGACACTCAAACCCAAACAATCCACCAATCGTAAAATAAAGCTGGACATTCCTTGAAAATCTCCTTAATCTGACTGATTTGGGGTCCCTTGGCTTAGCAAACCAGTTATTAACCCTCTGCACTGCGGGTCAATGGATTAACAAGGCACTCGCATTGCAGTGACCTCTGACCTTGACTGCCCCCAAAACAGTAAGAGAATGAGTTAGCTTATCGCTGAATGTTTATCTTTCCTTCTCTATATCTTTCAGCCCTTCTCCTTTGAGCCAGGAGGAAAAAAGGAGCTGCACGCTCCATCAATATAAGACCACACTCAACCTCTAACATCTGCCTCAACCAAACAACAGACGTGAGTTTATTTTTCTATGTGTGAATTAAAATAGTTTTTCCGCAAGTTCAACACATGTAATCTATAGAGTAAAGTATTTTATTATTTCGTACAGTATATTACAACTGAACTTTGAATCTTAGAATTGCACAATAAAACAAAAAATGAAATAAAAATATAAAAAAATATTATTTTAAATTATTTTTATTAAAATAGAATGTCTCAAAAATACAATTCAATGAAAATAAAATATTAAAATGATCATTTTAAATTTTATCAACATAAAATATAGAAAAAATATTTTATAATGCTACTTTATAATTCTACTACTTGTATTAAAAATATTATTATACTTCTATTTTTTAGTAAAATTGTATTATACTACTATAATATTATTATGCTACTTAAATTAGCAACAAAACATATTCACACCAAATTGTGTACAGTTATATATTTAGAGTTTACATAAAAGTGTTTTTTTTGTCTTTGTTTATTCAGCTTCATATAGATGAAATGACCATAAAAAAGAAATGAAATCCAGTAAACCATCTTGGTAAGGGACCCCTGAGAGAGCAGACAGGCTCTTAACACAAAACAGAGAAGTCGTTGCCACTCAAGGGAGAGGAGGGTGTGGATAACATTCCGATCAGAAGCGCGTTTTCACTTGTCTTTTCAATGTGTATGTGGACAACGTCCGGATACAGGTCGCATGTTAATGCCAAGTGTAAACGCAGCCTAAGTGTAGGCTGTGGAGGACAGGTTCAGCACTGCTTAGGGGCCCCCTGCTCTGGGTCCCAGATCAGGTGGTCAGTAGCGTCACTATCAAACGCCCTTTGAGAGTTTCAAGAAAACAACATTGTTAATTAACCATACAAAGTGCAGTTATAGATACTTATATGAGCAATGAGTTCTAATGAGTTGAAGTGAGTACTAATTTGAAGTGGCAGTGGGGTATGGAAAAGCACTTGGTGAAGCTTTTAAGTGCAATTGCAACAGTGTTCAACCAAAATAACAGGACAGAATCGTAAAAAAAAAAAAATCTAAATTCTATTCAAATTTAAAACAGATCCATGTGTGATATTACTTTTTAACATTTTTTATTTGAGGTTCACATTTACTACATAATATATTATGCTTGTCATCCCCCCAATCCCCCCTCCCCCAAACCGCATAGTATATTTTTATTTGGACGTACTGTAGAGTAACCGTGGCAAAACTGGTTTCATCTATATTTGATTACATAGATATGATTACATTATGATTACATATATGGAGCATGTCAGGGTTTGGATGAGGTGCACCAAAGCAGACTTCATTCCCGAAATCAGAGCTCGCTCTCCTAAATGTCTATCATCAGATTTGAGCGAAACCTCAAGCCTGTGATTACCGCTCTCTGCTCCACAATCAACGTCCGGATCTCTCAGTGCAGATTATTTTTAATTCAAATGAAACGCTGACAGACTACAGAAAGCAGGCAGAGAAAGAGAGAGAAAAAGAAAGATATGGAAGGAAATGCAGCAAGAGAACATGTCGTAGAACTGCCAAGAAACTAAT